TCTCTTTCAGCCAGTGATCTTAAAGATCACTCTCTGTGGATTTTGAAAGGTCAACAAATTCTAATTGTGCAATTTTAAAATAATGTCATTCTCCTAACACAATTCAATAGTTTCACAACTTTCAAAATCCTGTCAACTTAATCTGGCCCTAACTTGCCTCTCCAAACTTGTCAATTATACAATAGGCCTTTACTTCTCCTGACCTTTTCCCTTCTTTGCCTAGAATACTCTTAACTCATCTTGCCAGCTCCGTTTTAGATGTCACTTCCCCAAGGAAGGCTCTCCAATCTTCTCAAATCCAGATTAGGTTCCTTGCCATAACTCATCTTTATGACAGCTCTTAGGACCTATATCCTTGTCTGTGCCATACCATGGGAAGGGGAGAACAGTAGTTTCCCCAACATATACCAAAGGGTAGGGAACATGAGATTATCAAAAATACGTGTTAAAGAATGAAAAAGGCATGAGACAAAGAAGAGGAGTCTATGGCAGTCAGGTAGTCATAAAGTAGTAAGATTTAGCCATTAAATTCAGGGATCGACTTGTGCCAATGGAAAAGAAAGAGTGAATGGGGCACAATGAAAAGAAAGTGTAAAGTTCAGAAATCTGAATTCTGAGTCGATGCAATTTCATATATATAATTAGGAGATTCATCTAGCTCAGGAGTTTCCTAATCGTGGCTGACCATCAGAATGATCCAGAAATCAGAAATAATTTTTGTTTTTGATGTGTTCTAATTTCCTCTGGTCATTGTCATAATCATTGATTGATATTCAGGAATTACTAACCTGGATGTTCCAAAAGGCCGCTTCCAGCACTAATGCTCTAATTTAAGATAGCCACAAGATAACCACAAACAAATAATTGATAGGAATTGATAAGTAACTGACTGTAAGAGCAGAAGAGATGTACTACACTAGATTTTTAAGCTAATTGACCTAGAGTCCCAACTTACACATAACAGGCAATGAATAAATACTTGCTTAGTAAATGAAATAGGAGAGCAAGAACAGGGAGCACATTTGGTGAGAAAGGGTGGATTTGATGTTGAATATGAATTTCTCAAATGACACTCTACCAAATATTTGTCCTTCAGGGCTACGTCAACATAATGCTCTTCTTTCCTGCCTTAAAGAAATATTTGCCCTTGGCATTGCTGTTTTGGCTATCATAAGGATTACTTCTTCTTTGGGTTACAGCACTTAATTTCTCTTTAAAGAAGTACACTCACCCATTTTGTATACTCTTACAGGGACTATAAATCAGGCCTTGTCCTCTCTTAACTAAGACTCTATGAGACTCTCTCTTATACTTTAAAAACTTGATAAGAATGTCCTAAGAACAGAGAAATCTGTTGGTGTTCATCATTTTTGCAGTGGCATTAAATTAATTCCTCTTTCCTAGATCCCTGGATTACCCTAGTTTCTGTCCTTTTAACTTGGCCTTATTCTCAAAACATCATTACGTCTATGAATTACTCAGTATCCTTCTAATAAATCCTCATTTTTATTTAATAAATCATTATCAATTTCTGGCACTTGCCAAACAAACAAAATAACAGAAACTAATACAGATAGTAGAGGAAGGAAAAGAGAGGAGGGAAATGCAAGTCATATATGTAATTATAAATATTCTAGCATCTGCATTAAAAAACTGATGGATTTAATTTCAATGCTAGGTTTTATTTAAGCCAATACATCCAAACCATATGTTATCAATCTGAAAAATAAAACTTTTTACTTTCTTTTTTACTCCAAGTCTTTGAAATTTGGTATGTATGCGTATTTGACACACAACCCATCTCAACTCAAATGCTAAATTTTCAGTTTAAAGTGAAATGTAGTCCTTCCAAAACAATAAAATGGGCATAAAAGGAAAATATTTTACACTGTTAGTTTTTAAATTTAACTGAAATTACCTAAGTATTCGGTTCCTCAGTCACATTGGCCACATTTCAAGTGCTCAGTAGCTACATATGAGTAGACCTACTGTAATGAGCTATACAGCCTTATGTACAGTGTGGGGCAAAAGTAGGCTTACCATTGTATGTGGAAGTTTATCCTTGTATTGTTAATTATTGTATTATTCTCCATACAAACAGCTGTAAACCTAATTTTGCTCCACCCTGTATAATTGGCTACAAGAGTGAAGGCTCAGGGGACATCTTCTTGATAGATCTAGCTGTTAATAGGAATTAGAGGTTTTCACACTTCCACCAAATTTCATTATGAAAGGATTCAGAATTGTATGATGACCCATAGGAGTCTCTCTTCCCCAAAATAATGTTTCCTTGCTTGTGTAACTAAAACAGGTTAACACATTATTGAGTTTGAGATCTACCCTCTGCATCCGACAATTTAGTAGCATAGAGATCGAAGAATTATCTTTCTTGTCACGGAGTTTAATTCAAAGTTAAAATTACATGATTATGTACTCTTAAATCACTTCTCATGTACTACATTTCGATGGGTGGGAAGAGATTTTAAACATTAGCTTTAATTGTAAGCAGTTTCACTGTCAAAAATGTGGAATTTTGAGTGGCAGTTTGAAGAATTTGACCTTCATATCTCAGATAAAAAGTTATTGTACATTTTGGAGTAGAAGAGTGGCATAATGAAGTATTGTTTCAGGAAAACAAATCAGAATCCAGTGTGCAAATACACCAGCAACAACAGAAGTCTTCTGCAGAGAAGATGTGGAGCTTCTAGGATCCTTAGCTGGTGTATATATGCTCTTATTTCTGTCAGCAATTATTTTTCTCTTACATTGAGAAGACAAGCAGTCATCCTTCAAGATCCAGTTCAAAGTCAGCTGTTTGCTGGATGCAGATGTCAGACTGAGCTGCTTCACCTCTGATCACATAGAACTTCTAAATCCTGAGCAGAAGTTAAATTCATAGAGGAAGGAGAATAGTGGTTGCAGGGGAGGAGGGAATGGGGAGTTACTGTTTTAATTGGTGCAGTTTCCATTTTACAAAATGAAGTGTTCTGTGGATGCATAGAATTATGGTAGGGCAGAACTGAAAGACAAGGCCTTTCCCCAGCCTAACTCCGTCCCTTTCAGATCACAACTTAAATGTCACATTTTTAAGCAATCTTCCCTTTTCCAGGCCAGGATGGTTTACGTACATTTGCTATTCCCTCTCACAAGCCCCACACTCTTCTTAAGGTTCCAATTGTAATTTATAGCTAATTATGTGGTATTTTAGTTTGCTTGGGCTTTCGTAACAAAACAGTACAGTCTGGGTGGCTTACACAAGACTTTGCACGTATTTTCTCACAGTTCTGGAGGCTAGAAGTTCAAGGTCAAGGAATAGCCACGTTTGGTTTCTCCCAAGGCCTCTCTACCTACTCCATGTCCTCACATGGCCATTCCTCTGTGCATGTGCATTCCTGGTGTCTCCCTGTGTGTCCACATTTCCTCTTCATATAAGGACATCAGTCAGATTGAATTAGGATGTACCCTAAGGGTCTCATTTCAATTAATCACCTTTTTAAAGGCCCTACTTCCAAATGCAGTCATATTCTGAGACAAAATTCTAATGAATTTTGGAGGAACACAATTTAACGCATAACATGTGATTACCTCTGTCGTTCTCAGTTGGTAAACTCTGTGACAACAAATTTTTTCTCACTTCAGGACCTTTACAGTCATTATTTCCTCTTTTTAGAACACTCTGACAACAATTCTTCATACAACAGGTTTTTCTCAACTTTCAAGCCCTGTCACCTGACAAGAACGATCCCAGACCACCTTATTTAAAGTAACCTAAAAGTCCCTCTATCACATCATTTTCTTTCTTCCATGGCACACACGAGAACGTCAGCTCCAGGAAAAGGTTATGTGTTTTTCCAAACTCCTGTGGCCTAGATTATTAGCCCTGTGTTTCATGTAGTTATGAATGAATGAGTTTCTGTAACCACTTACTGCATTATAATGACTTTATTTAATCCATTGAGAAAACCTGCCCAAGAGGGACCACATTTTTATGAAGCTTTCTGAATCTCAGCTCTAACACTGAAGAGCTGTGAGACTTCTGGCAAGTTCCTTAACCTCTGTGGGCCTCAGGTTCCCTATATGACACCACTACCTTCTTCAGAGTTCTTCTGAAGATTAAAAATAATACACATATTGTACCCAGCACAAGAATTTGGCATATAGTGCAGTCTATCAACTGAAATGCTATTAGGTTTAGGTTGAATGTTTTCCAAAGTGTGGCACCTGTGGATGGTGTAAAAAATGTCTTTATAGGTGGTTCAGAGCATTAAAGTAATTATCATTTCGATATTTTAGATTAAAGTAAGGTTGTCTTTTCATCGTCTTTACTATCTCTTGTTATTCTTCCTATTTAACAGAAAGATGTCTTAAGGTCAAAGACACACGCAACAGTTAATGTGAATTTAACATTTTCCATTGTATTTGTGAAGCCAGGCTGCCTGAGTTTAGACCCACCTCCCTCAGTCTCACTTTGGGCTACTTAAGGAACCTCTCTCTACCTCAATTTATTCAAATGTAACGCGAGGATAAGGACAGTACCATCCCATGCGTATCGTGAATATAAAATGAACAGTTACACCTAAAGCGATGTAGAATATAGAAAGCCCGACATCCATTTTAAAAACTTGTGAAAGAAACGGTCCCTTGGGATGGTGTGGCAACTGTCTATAAAAGGTCTCACCAGGACAATTGAGTCAGCGACTCCTGGCAGGACGGGGTCTGAGAGGCGGGGCGGCACTCGCCACCTCCAGGCTACTCACTGCCTGGTGCGGGGCCTGAGGAGCACGGCCGAAACCCGCGCGAGACTAGAGCTCGCACTTCGCTTCTTTGGGGTTTCCCTCGGTCTGTTGAGACTCTTCCATCCCTGCGTGGGCTGTCGCGCCCTTACCCTAAGCTACCTGAAATTGCAAGCGTTTCCTGAAGCGACCAGCGAAAACCCCGAGTGTTCAAGAGGGAGGAACACGGGCGGGGCAAGGGAGACGCGCGCTACGTAAGACGTCGCCGCTGCGAACAGAGCAGCGCGCATGCGCGATGGCGCTCTTGGTGGAGAGCGGGACCAGACGGAAGCTACAATGGCGGCGGAGCGCAAGACTAAGTTGTCCAAGAATTTGCTGCGCATGAAGGTGCGGGGTGCGGAGGAGCCAGGATGGGAAAGCAGGACCGCCCGATGCAACTGGCCTGGCCGCGGCTGAAGCACCGGGCGTACGGGGGACTCAGAGGGCTCCCAGCTCTCGGGTTTATTCATTCACTTTAATGCCTGCTCTGCGTTAAGGCACTTGGATCTGGGTTGGAATTCTGGCAGATTCTCTCATAAAGCCCGCGATCGAGTAGTAGAGAAAGACACGTAAATAAGCAGTTAGGATAAAGCGTACTAAATACTGTGATGCCAGAAGCCCCGGGAGCCCCGGGTACTCACTTGGGTTTATGCGGAAAGTGGTGCGTAAGTAGAGAATGAAGGGTAGGGTAGGGGCACAGCATCATAAACTGGGTGAAGAGCGAGTGCAGAAGTCTGAGAGGCAAAAACCAAGAAATCTATGGTGAGTTTGAAGAACTAAAGATAGTTCAGTATGTCTGGAAGGCAAATAGCAAGGAATGGGCCTGAAAAAGTAGACAGGTTACTGCAGGGAATTTTAGGCCAGATTAAGGAATTGTTTTCCTTGTGAGCTTTGGGAAGATTTTGAGCACGGGGAACAGTATCATTAGCTGTGCCTCGTATTGCATCCTGTGGAGAATACTTAATAAAAGAAAGATCCAACAGGAGATAAAATTTGCAGTCAAACCATGCAAAGGTCTGAGGACATGTTGATTGTGCCATGGAATTATAACAGTTAAGGTGAAAGTGAGTTATGTCAAGCAAAATTATTTTTATATTTTGAATTTAATCAAATAATATCAAAATGTTAAAGAAAGACAAATGTAGATAAAGTGAATCCAGGAATTAAAATGGGAACGAACCAATCCTTTAAACAAATATTGATAATAGCAAACATTTACAGTTTTTGCCATGTGCCAGTCTTCTAAGTGCTTTGCATATATCAACCCAAGAAATCCACCTAACTGCTTGAAGTGGGTATAGTTATTATCCCTCTCTAACAGTCGAGGCAACTGAAACAGAGGAGTAAGTAACTGGCCCAAAGTTACTGCTAATAAGCAGTATTGACAAGACTCAAACTCAGGCAGTCTGGCTCCAGAGCTCCTTTTGCTCTTAATTACTACTGGTTGCTGAACACTTACAATGTAAAGTGTTAGATGTCATGTTCAGAGAATTTTGGAATTTCCAGGAAAAAGAAACAATGCTCAAATAATGTCCTGAAAGATCAAAGTAAATACTGCATGTGCAAAATGTTGATTGAGGTGAGCAAGGGCGTAACTAGGGATGAATAGGGTGAGTGAAAGTGGAGGGTAAATCATAGCATAATTTACAGTTTCTGAAGTACTTCTTTCATGTGTATTAGCAAAATTTGAATCTTTACTGAACGGAGGTTTTTCTTGGTTTGTGGTTTGTAATCATGTAGATTTCAAAAAAGTGGAGTAAATTGACAAAAAGACACTGGAAAGATTTTAGCAATTGTTTAACTCTTGGAATAAGCCAAATGAAGATCTGCTGGGTGATTAGGACCCAGACCAAAGATCTGACTTGGGAATATTCAAAATATTCAAAATATTATTCATCCCTTACTCGAGTGGTTAGAGAAACTCAACTAGTCATTGTAAGCAAAGGAGAGGGGGGAAATACCCAGGTTCTCTATTTGGGTTAACAACTTCATCATTGATAAGGAAGAATTTATTGGCAGATAGAGTGGAGTGTCTTAAGAGGAGTGGAGCAGCTGCCTGAGGTTATTGTAACCAGTGTACCTGTTCAGCCAGAGTTAAGTATAGAGCAAGAATGACAGGGTTGAGGACTAAACTTTGACTCATTTGCTTTCCAGTGTACTTGTCCTCTGACTTGGCTCAGCTATGCAGGGCTAGAGGTTGATCCTGATGATAAGTAGAAAGTGAAGGGTGGAGTTGGAAGTCTGTCGGTATGATGGAATTGTTGTGGAGAGGGTGTAAGTTTATTTGTAATTTAACTCTTTTGAGTTCTTAAGACAAGAGTTGGTAAACTTTTTCTGTAAAGGGATAGATAAATACTTGAGGTTTGTGGGCCAGTCTGTCCACTGAACTTGTAGCCATTGTGCCTCAGAATCAAATGAGCATGGCTTTGTTTCAGTAAAACTTTTATTTACAACAACAGAAGTTTAGTCTAAGGACTATATTTTGTGATACCCACTCTAGGCCCTTGGTCCTGAGTAAAACTAAATCACTAGCTTTAGAGTATGTTCTTAGATGCTGTGGAGTCAGAAGAATTGAACTGCCAGCTAAGTCTGGAGTTGCTTCATTCATAGCCACAGGGTTTTCTGTCCTTTCCATATGTATAGAAATATTATGTGTGTGTGCGTGCACGTGTGTGTGTGTGTGTGTGTGTGTGTATTTTTGGTACATATGTATCTGGCTATTTGTATTCCATAGAGAATATCTACTTAAAAATAGGAGATAAAAGGGCAGTTGAACAGGATTGGTGAATTTTATCACAAAGAAGATGAGTAATGAAATGAGACTTTTAGGTTTAAAGAGAACCATTCAAGAAAGGAAATCTTGGAAAATGTCAGGTCTGTAATCATTTACATTCAGAGAACCTTTATTGAACCCTTTTCTGTGTAGAAGGTACAGCCCAAGTACCAGTAATATAAGATGAACAAGGAAGGTGATCTACATTCACAATCTTAGTCTTTTGGGAGGAGACATAGAAGAAATGGAATGAAAAATAAACCAGTGTTATAAGGCTGTTGTAGAAGGAAAAGGAAGGTTTATCAAATGACTCATGCTGTGGGCCGTCACAAGTGAATATTTTGACAGGCAGGAAATGGTAGCATAATGTTGAATAGTGGAGGCAGAAGGACTGGGGACTACAAGGTATGCTTTTCAGAAACTGCCAGTTCTTTTCTGTGTTGAGGATATAGGAACAGGTAAGAGGATGAGGACAGAAGAATAAATAATGCAAAGCCAGGAAATTGACAGTGGTACAATCCACAGAATTTACTCAAATTTCACCATTTTACTTGGATTCGTTTGTATGTTTGTGGTTGTTCCATCACAAGTTTCCCTCTAGCTTCCGCTTTGTAGCCACACCCACTCCCTTATGTTATCCTTAACCCCTAGCAACCACTAATCTGTTTTTCATTTTTACAATTTTGTTACTTTAAGGATGTTATATAAATGGAATCATGCAATATACAACCTTTGAGATTTTCTTTATTCACCCATCTAATTCCCTTAAGATCTGTTTAAGTTGTTGAGTATATGAATGCTTCCTTTTTATTGCTGATTAGTATTCCATGCTGTGGATGTAACATGGTTTATTTTAACCATTCACCTGTTGAAGAGTGTTTTGGTTGTTTCCAGTTTTTAGCTATTACAGATAGAGCTGCTCTGATAATTTGTGTATAAGTGTTTGAGCAAACATTAAGTTTTCATTTCTCTGGGATAAATGCCCAAGAGGACAATTGCTGGGTCATATGGGTAAGTTCGTGTTTAGTTGGGTAAGAAACTGTCTGGCTATTATCCACAGAGAGTTCCCGTTTCCTCATATCCTCGTCATTGGTAAAGCCCTTATGTCTAAAAATTTTGTGTCTGGAAGAGCTGGGGTATTGGAAAAAAGCATTATGGAACCAAGATAAGGGAAAGAAATAGGGGTAAATGCAAACCAGTGGAACCCTAGACCTAACTGCTGGATGGTTTCTGAACTTACTTTTTCCTGTATTGATACTTCATCATTTCACTGTGATCAACTTACTGGTTTGTGTGCCTGTCCCCTGGAAATAAAGCTGTTTTTCGGCCTCTCTCTTTTGTTCTGTCCTCCCAGCAGCTAATGTCGAAAGAGACTAATAACAAAACTGCTATTTTCTCTACTGGCCTATGTTGAGTTGAGCTTCCGCAAATTTTAGAATGAAGAGCAGCCATGGAGTTAATCAAGCATTTCAGAGAACTGATACAAGTGAAAAGCAGACTGTTAGATGTAGCTTTGCTTCTCTCTACATTTATAGAGTCCTCAATTGTGAGATGGGATTCCTGGACAAATGGGGAAGGACAAATTGAAGATTAAAGTTGTTCGAGTTTTCTTTTACTCTAATTTGGGGAAATTAGTTGCTGACACTGATTTTGTTTTATTTTGACAGTTCATGCAAAGGGGATTGGACTCACAAACCAAGAAACAACTAGAAGAGGAAGAGAAGAAAATTATTAGTGAAGAGCACTGGTACTTGGATTTGCCGGAGCTTAAAGAGAAAGAGTAAGTTTTATTAGAAATTATATTAATGATACTTTGGGCATTCCGAGCAAAATCCCTATAAAAGCGGTCTACTTGGATATATTTTTACTGGCCCTGGGCTGTCATTTATAACATTGTTTGTTCTCTCTCTCTTTTTTTTCTTTCCTTTCCTTTTTTTTTTTTTTTTTTTACATTTCATAACGGAATCTAACCCATATCTCTGGTAGTAACTGGGGACCTTTTATGAGAACCTGTAATGTACTTGCTACCTATTAAATTCCAAAGATTAGGCGTGTTCTTCAGGGCTCTCCAGTTTTATTTCAGTTTAACAGAATTCTTCATTAGACTGAACTTCTCAAAGGCAGGTCAAGAGATTTTTGCTTCTTTTCCTTTTTTAAAATTTTTACTGTTAATACCAGTCTTTTTAGCTAACATTTATTGAGTTGGTAATGTGTGCTAGGAACTGGACTAAGCACTTGTATCTTTTAATTAGTCAATCCTCACAGCAAACTTGAGAGCAGCCTATTACCCAATTTATAGTTGAGGAAACTGAAACTTAAGAAAAAATAACTTGGTTCAGAGTCACCCAGCTAGTCAGTGCTAAAGCTGAGATAACACACTGAACCATTTCTCTTCCACTCGAAACTTGTTTGGTCCTTGACAAATAATTTTGAATGGAGTGATGGACTCATGGCATTGATTAATTTATCTTAATTCTTCTGGAAACTATGTATCATTTCTCCTTGATGCTTTTCTTACCTTAGTAAGCCTCTGTGCTGTGGATGTCAGGGACTGAAAATGCTCCTTGTTATCTTCAGGCATGTTTATGGTTTTTCTTTCTGTGCCTTATAATTTCTTTTATAACATGTTATATTCCCTTGTTCATTTGGATGATCTTCTCAGGACCTTTTTTGGAAGGTTAGATACCCTTTTCTGAAGCTAGAAAGTATGGCCCATCACAAGGATGGGAGGAAGGTACCTTATTTTCTCTGCTTGCTTCTCTGTGTACTTGCTTTTCTTGACTGCTTCTCAGAGGAAGGAAGATGTTAGTGAGGAGGGGGAGAATAATGCCAGAGATGTTAAGGACTTGGAAGCAGGAGTTGTAGGAAGGGACCGTTTTTGGTAAGGAGTTATAATTTAATTTTATGCCTTGATTAAACTTGTACAAGGTATCCCAGATATTTTGTTACTTACTTCTGTTGAAGGGCTTCTATTTCCATCTTGTTTTCAGCGTCCCTTGCCCTCCAACACAGTATATTATTCCCAGAAAATGGACTGTTAGGTTCCTTCCCTAGGAGGTAAATGTCTCAGTTTGTTTGAAGTACTGTAACAAAATGGAACAGACTAGGTAGCTTATATGCAACAGAAATTTATTTCCCACAGTTTTGGAGGCTGGAGGTCCAAGATCAGAAGAATGTGCCTGAGTTTAGATTCCCTCGGGGACAGGCAGTCCTGCGGAAAGTGAGGTGCCAGCTGGACTGGAGGGCCAGTGAGAAGAAGCTGAAGAATGGTGGTTCTCAAAGTTTTGGGCTCAAGGATCATTTGCATTTCAAAAAATTATTTAGAACCCATAAACTTTTCATGGTGTGGTTTATAGCATATCAATGTTTATATAAGAAATTAAAACAAAATTTTAAATATTTAAGAAACAAATGCATAACATATTAGCATAAATAACACATTTTGGATGAAAAAGAACTTTTTCTAGACAAAAAAAATTAGTGAGAAGAGTAGTGGTATTTTATATTTCCTCAAATCTCTCTAATGCCTGGCATAATAGAAGACAGACTCTGGCATTCAGCCTTTTGTAGTATGTTGTTTTGGTTGAAGTATATAATGAAATTCCATATCACGCAGATGATGTAGTTAAAAAGAGAGGGGTGTTTTTTCAGAATTTTTTTTGATACTACTCTAAAACTCAGCAAGTAGTAGTTTCTGAAAAGTTAACTGCAATGTAGAATCCAAAAACATCTTTGAACCTTTCATGATCATTGGACCATCTTACATTTTGAATAGCTCTTTTGTCAGTGCACAATTTTATAACATACATTTCTCATTTAGACTCTATTAGTTTAATTAGTTATATAGATTTTCAAAATAACTCATTTCATTGTATAGTATCAGAAATCACAATAATATCACCATGGATTTCATCAGAAAAGTCTTTAAGTATTGGGAAGCTGCCAAGCCCAGAATGACATATACCAGCTATTCAAAATTCTAATTTCTGCTTGAAGGCTTGAATTTTGTTATTAGCAATAAGTATTGTCAGTTGTTTCCCTTGCAGTAACAAATTTAGTTTATTCATTTTCAAGCAAATGTTTGCCAAGTACACAAGTCTGAATAACCATAGTTACAGTGTACCAAGAAAAAAGTACCTAGTTCAACTCACAACTCAGTCACACAAGTGTGCTTTCTTAATACAATCATACTTCAGTAGCCAGCAGTACCTCTTATATATGCTTCCCATTTTGTGTAGGGAATATTCTTTAAAAATGTAATCAAGGTCTGAGATCAATAACAATTAATTTTTAGTTCTTCATCTAGAACACAGTTATTGGCTTAAGCTGTGAAAGCTGGTGGTGAACAATGTAATGAATGCTAGTACAGTGTATTATCACTACTTTAATTCATAATGTGTTTTTACCTGTAACTGCTTTTATACACACTGTGCAAATGTCAACATAGTGAAAAAGACAAATAACATCTTAGTGTTATCAGGAAAATAATTTTTACCTCCTACCATTTTTACCTTCTTTCACTCCTGTCAAGTCATGGAGGCCTCTTGACTGTTGCACAGGCAGGCCACTTACGTTCCCTTCTCAAGGCCTTTACCTCAACAAGTCCCTCAAGTGTTTTTTCCCCAGGTATCCTCATATCTTATTCTCCAGTGTCTTCTGGACTTTGCTCAATGTCACCATCCAAGTGGCCTACCCATACCCCACATCATAAAGCGACCAAAGACAAATTCTTTAGATGAAAAGAATTTGGATAAATTGGATAGAATTCTGTTTTCACATCTCTTAGGTAAATGTGGAATAGCTGGATCATAAGGTTGGCATATATTTAACGAAAGAGAAGCTTTCAGGTCCAAAGTGATTGTACAATTTTACACTTTCACTAAGGTAGTTTTAAGAAATCTAGTTGTTCCACACCCTTCCAATATTTGGTGTTATCTTTTTAATTTTATCTGTTTAATAGTCTAGTGGTATCTCATGGTTTTCAGTTTGCATTTTCCTGGTGACTAATATTAAAGAATGTTTATGTGCTTATTGGCCATTTCCATATCTACCTTTGTGACATACCTATTCAAATCTTTCATCCATTTTTTTTTAAAGGTGTAGTGTTGTCTTTTTTTAAAACATTTTGTATCACATATTTTTCCACTCTCCTATACATCTGTCGATTTATTTTGTTTTTGCTGTATGTCACAATAAATAGCAGACAGTACATTTTATTCCTTAACTAGAGTTCACTGTTTACATAGGGTTTTTTCTTTTTAATGTAATCAACTTACTTCTATACAGATGGGAGTCCTTTATATTCTGAACACAAATTCTTTGCCAGGCATATGTATTGTGAATATTTTCTCCCAGTCTGTGGCTTGCCTATTCATATTCTTACTGTTACCTTTTGATTAACGTTTTTATTAATTTATTCCTACTATAGTTAATTCTTTCTGGCTCTTGTTAAGTGAATATTCGCTAGAATCCTTGTAATTTTTATCTATGATCTGTCTGATTTTATGTGTATGGTGTGAGGTAGGGATCAAGGTTCATTTTTCTTCTTTAGATAACCAGTGGTCCCAGTACCACTTACGGAAAATGCTTTTCTTTACTCATTTCATTGTTTTGATGCTCTAGTCAAAATCAATATGCTGTGTTAATATGGGTCTATTTCTGGATTTTAGTCTGTTACATTGATGTAACTTGCTACCCTTTTCCTGATTACTACAGATTGCTGTGAATCTTAATACACAATAGTGTAAATTTTTCACTTTTTTTCCCCCCAAGATTGTTTTGCTAGCCTTCGTCCTTTTCTTTCCCATATAAATATTAGAACCAAATTGTTTATTTCTTCCCTTCCCCCCAAGAAAGCAGGACTTTGATTGGCAGTGCACTGAACCTGTAGATCAACTGGAGATAACAAAATTGTCTTCCAACCCATAAACATGATATATCCGTTTATTTAACTGTTACTTAATTTCTCTCAGCAGTTGTTATAGTTTTTGGTGTGGAGATTCTCTGGAAATATACAATTAAATGTATTTCTACATATTTCACATTTTTAAGTCCTATTGTGGCCTTTTTCCCAAAAATTGTTTGTTGTTTTATATATGTAGAAATTGATGGTTATATGTTGACTTCGTATTTTGTAACTATGCTAAATTGACTCACTAGCTCTAGTAGGGGATTTTTTTTTTTTGAAGATTACTTAAGATTATTTACATATACAATTATGTCATCTACAAAAAAGAAAGTTATACCTTTTATTTTTTTTTATTTATTTCAGTGGCTCCAGTACAGTGGTAAGAATGAACACCCTTGCATTGTTTCTCCTCTTAGGGGGAAAGCATTAACTTGTTTACTATTAAATATGAAGTGCTGTGTGTTTTTATAGCCTCCCTTTATTAGCGTAATATATTTTCTTTTCCTAATTTATTGAGGATTTTCTATAAATGATGTTGAATTTTGTGAAGTCATTTTTGATGAGATAATCGTATGATTTTTCTTTCCTCTGTCAGCATGGGAATTATTGATTTTTGAATGTCAAAACAACCCTACATTTCTGAGACAAACCACATTTGATATGTATTTGTAATACATATTTATTTTAATATACTAATATTTTAGTAATGATTTTTGTATCAATATTCATAGAAGGTATTGTACTACAGACTTCTTTATGCCTTTAGTTTGGGCAATAGCATAACTTGGGAAGTATTTCTCGTTTTCTTCTTATTTCTTAGTTTGTATAAAATTGGTATTATTTCTTCCTTAAGTGTTTGATAAAATTCACCAGTGAAACCACCTGGAGCTGGAGTTTTCTCTGTGAGAATATTTTTAAATAATGAATTCATTTTCTTTAATCGATATGAGACTCTTCTGATTTTTCACTTTGGTATTTTTTTTTCCTGTTCTAAAATTTCTGTTTGGTAATTTTTTATTTATTTTTTAATTCATGTCCTCTATTTGTCTTACTTGCATTCATATTTTCCTTTAAATCCTTGAACATATTTATAATAGCTATTTTAAAGTTCTTTACTACTAATTCTATCATTCTTTCTCTGTTTACTTGTTTTTCTTCTATTAATGGATCACATTTTTCTGCTTCCTTACATGTCTAGTAATTTTTAATTGTGTGCTATGTATTATGTTATATTGCTGAGTATCCTTCCTTAATAAAGGGTTGAAATTTGTTCCATTAGGCAGTTAATTTACATGCTGATCAGCTTGATCCCAGTTTTTGTTAGAGTAGGTTTTATAGCCTTTAGGGTTAGATTAGCCATACTTGAAGGTGAGACCTTTCACAGGGTGTTCAGCTTGGTCTCTTCACTCTAGGTACACAAGTCAAAACATTTCCCTCCTCTGTGCAAAGTTTCATACTTGCTCAACATACAATTCCAGGATAAATTTTCTCTCCCAGATGTGATGAACTGGAAAATGGTCTCCCAAATAATATCTAGGCCTTCTTCTCTGGAACCTGTTACCTTGTATCCCAAAATTGACTTTACTGGTGTGATTAAGTTAAGGATCTTTAATCAGGAGATTATTCTGGATTACCTGGGAAAGATCTAAATGCAATTAATTATATCCTTATAAAAGGGAGGCAGAGGCTTTCCCCCAGACTGGTGCCTTATGGAGGGGAGTACTCAACCCCAAAAGATGGCATCTGCGCTGTGGGAGAATGGCTCAGCACAGGGGTCCTGGCTGCTCTCTCCCCATAGCCACAAACCCCAGACTCTTCTCATGCGACTCTAGTCCTCCCCATCCTCCCTCAGTCAGAGACCAGGATAAGTGGCTGCAAATGAAATGTTGTTGTTGGCTCTTTAAGATGGTGCCTATATATCTAGCAGACTCCCTTCTCTCCCTGGTGGACAGAATCTCCACTGATTTTCACAGCCAGATGTTATATGGGCGCCTCTTCCCGGCTCTGGTGCGCTGGGCTAGGGAGCCTGTCTTGGAGTTGAGACCCCACACACCTCAGGGGGAAGCCCCCGCAGCTGAGATAGCCCCCTGGAATCTCATCCACTGCCTGTGGGAGTGGGGCCAACCAGCCTTTTTCGTATCTCCATCCTTCCTACCAGTCTCAATGTGGCCTCTTCTGGAAATCCTTGGTTATAAGACTTCTCTTCAATTAGTCTTCAGTTGGTTATTCAGATTGCTTTCTCTGTATTTAACTCCATTTTGGTCCTGAAAGAAGGTGAATGTAACATCCACCTATTCCACCACCATCTTCGAAACTATTTAGTTTTATAATCATGAAAAAATAGGTTCTTTTCAAAATTAGAATTAGTGTTTAAGATTATCGTCTCAATCTGTCAAAGAACAAGGCCATCTTAAAATTAAAAGATACTCAGTGACAATATTCTTTACAACCAAGGTTGCTTTTCTTTTTTTTAATTTATCCCTACTAAAAAGTCATTCTTTAGAAAAGCAAAAAATGGTATGGGAGACTTCTTTGGTGAAGGCCTCACTATTGCAAATGGTACAGTAACTATTTTCTTAAATTCCATTGAGCTTCAGGTGTTATTCATACAATAAGTCAATCCCAACAACCCTTCAGATATGGTATCTCCATTTTATAGATGAAAATGCTGGGGTTCAGAGCCATGAAGATAAAAGCCCAAATATGACTTGTAAATTTACTAAAAAGTGAGTTTATATTTGAGACTTTTTCTTACTCCAACCAGAGCTTTTTCTTATTATTTGGTATAATAGATGCTATATTAGGAGCAGAAGGTAAATAAAATTAGATAGATTTAACATATGGAAATATAGAAAGCATAGGTTAGCATTTGAGTCTTGACATTAGGTGTAATTCTGTCCAAGAAGCTGAAAATACAGTATCCACTTTATCCGCATAGCATTCACAGAACCATTGCAGGACCTTCCAGAGAAATTACATATTTCTATGAGTCTCAACTCTCAGAGGAGAGTAAGAGCCTGAAAAATTAAGTGGCTTTGGCCCTGGAAGGTGTGGCTCACTTGGTTGGAGCATTGTCCTTGTTAATCAAAAGATCACAGGTTCAGTTTTCGGTCAGGGCACAATGCCTATGTTGTGGGTTTAGTCCCTGGCTACAGCACATACTAGAGGTCACCAATTGGGGTATATACGAGAAGCAACGAGTCGATGTTTTTCTCTCACATCAATGTTTCTCTCCTTCTCCCTTGCTTCCTCTTTTTCTAAAGTCAATAAGCATGTCTTCAGGTGAGGATTAAAAACAATTAAGTGGCTTTGGAAATAAATAAGATAGTCATAGAATTTTAGTGATAGGAGAATGTCAGAAGCACTGTCAGCATTTGGACCTTTTAAGCTATGGCTCCTTCCACAAGCATTCAGAAGGGCCAGAAGCCACAGATGTTGGTTGAGTGCACTGAAAAATACTTTATTGATGTGCTGGAATGGGGTAAAAGCCTCACCTATATATCTTTGATGTAGAGCATTTAGCATGGTGCCTGACATGTACAGGAGCCATTAAAGTAAGTATTTATTAAGCAGATACATGCTCCAAATGAATGGCAACAGTAGGAACCAATAACTGCAAAATCATTTAGTAAATATTTTCTCTAATAATTATTCATACATAAAAATAGTAACAACAATAGATTCCTTTATACTCTAAAAATCTTTTAACAGCTAACTTTTTGTGTGTGTTAGAAAAATGCCCTGAGATGTTTCAGAAGAGCTGACACCCACGTGTTTTGCTATGTTATGGCAGTCTAAGTATATTTGAGTAATCTGAACACTGATTTTATATATATATATATATACACACACACACGCCCACATACATGGAGGCAGAGAGATATGTCATGCACACAGGAGATGGCATTGTGACCGTGGAGGCAGGGACTGGAATGATGCAATCGCAAGCCAGTGAATGTTCTGGCTTCCAGCGGAAACTGGAGAGGCAAGGAATGAGTTCTCTCCTCCCTCCCTCTCAAGGAAGGGCAGCCTTGCTGACACCTTGATTTTGGTCCAGTGAAACTGATTTCAGACTTCTAGAATTATAAGAGCATACATTTCTGTTGCTTTAGGCCACCAATTAATTTGTTACAGCAGTCCTAGGAAACTAATGCACCAAGTAATTGTTCTCCTCCTGGAAATCATTATTTTTTTCTTGACACTGTGAACTCACCTTGCACATGTACAGCCTAGTACTCAGCCAAAGATTCAAGGCCCCAAATTTTTTTTTTGTATCTCCCTTGTGTATCAGGTATCTTGACCCATGTATTAATATTTCAGCCACCTCTGGAACCTGAACTTCGGTTTGTCTCTTAAGTTCAGTGAGAGAGCTTCCGCTCCCTGCTCCACAGTGTACAAATTGCCTTCAGTCAGACGGTGGGCATTCATGGAGCTCAGTTCATTTGGTTTTCTTCTCAGGCATCACATTGCTATGCTTTGACTTGTTCACTATTTTGTATTTGGTCCCGTTTTATAGTTAGCTGTAGTAGGAGGGCTAGTTAGATACCAGTTACTCCCTTATGTCCAGGAGTAGAGTAACCTGCTTTATCTATTGTATAAATAAATCTTTTATTTATTATTTATTATTTTTATTTATTTATCATTTACTGTCTGGCACCACTGTAGAGTGTAACCTCCATGAGAGAAGATGCTCTCTCATCCATGGCTGTCTTCCCAGCTTCTAGAACCGCCTGATAATACAATTCAGTTTAATAAGTGTTTATGAGTGAGTGAATGAATGAGTAAATCTTGACAAGAAACAGGGCTGACTTTCTACCAGAGAAGCCATAAAGGCCAGGTATTTGCTTTCCTAGCACGCTTTATGGTTGATAGCAGAACTATAGCCAGATAGGCACACCTGGCATTGGGGTTATGTACTGGTAATTCAGGAGAATCCTATTCAGAGACAGAAAACACCCGTACCCGCATCCTGTTTGTAGGGCAACGGTGGCTGGCCTGAGAGCCCCCGTGATGTCCTGTATTTATCCCTCTCAGCAACAGCAGTGTCATTTTTACTCAGGTAATTGTGTAGCATGACTTTGGTTTGGGGTTGACAGCCTATCCACCATTATTTCTGCTCATTTTTTAGTTCTGTTGATCCACCTTTCCCTGTGATTCTGTGAGATGCCCAGTATCCTTACAATAAATTCCTTTTCTGTGCAAGTCACCAGGATCAGTGATTGTTTATAGCGACAAGTTCCAACTAATAAATACTTTTAAAGTTGCCTGGGACTCTGATTTCTGAGTATTTAGTAAGAACTTGGTGGGGGGTATAAACATCAAGGAAATTTTGCTTTAAATTTGGGTTTATTACAAATACTTTAGGTCTCTACATTGTGCATTTATGTAAATTAAATGTAGTGGTTAGAAGAGACTGTGCCTCCAGCCTGCAGCTCTTGTCTCCTGATGTGTTTGCCAGACAAATTAATAAGTTTTTATTTCTAATCCTAGGTTAGAAATCTTACTATATTTTTAGGTAGTTCTACTGAGAACTCTAAGATCGATTTTTTTATTTGAAATCTTGACTTATATTTGCTGTGCTTTGTTATGAGTAGGCATACTATTAATACAGGTTTATTTTCCCGTTTAGGAGTTTTATAATAGAAGAGCAGAGTTTCTTGTTATGTGAAGATCTCCTCTATGGAAGAATGTCATTCAGAGGATTTAATCCTGAGGTTGAGGTATTAAATGTATTGCTTCAAATTTTAAATTTTTCCAATTGAATTCTTTCTGCTGATAATTGGGTTTAGGTTTTTCCCCACCAGGTAACATTTCTCCTCATTATACGGAAAATAACAAGCCTTGAAATATTGCCATAGCTATTTAAAGAAATTGCAGGCATTGCAGTCTAGTTTTATGGTAGAATTGAGTAGATAATTTAATATAGCAGCAAGTCCCTGGCAGTGCCACTGTGTTAGAGTTTCAGCTCAGGTCCTTTACAGGATTGTCGGGATTTTACTCATACGATGTTATTATGAAAAATTATTTTCTGACATCTATAAATATATCTTTCTTAATGGAAAAATGTTTACTTAAAAATTGAGTAATTTGACTTTTTAATGGGCAGGTTTTGATACAAGCTTGTAAATTTTTAAAAGAATCCTTTGGGAAATTTGTTTGAAAAGTAAATATTCACCTGAAAACTGCACTGTTCATTTGAATTTTCCTGACTCGGGTTTGTAAAGAAGCAGAGGCTTTCACTTAACAAATATTAGAGCTCTGGCTGTGTATTAAAAGCCATCCTATCAGGTACTTAACCAACCAAATGGAAGTCTGTGTGATACAGAGCTTTAGTTTTATAACACTTGAAGCCAAGGTTTCTCAGCCCTGGAACTATTTTTTAAATTATTATTATTATTTTTTTAATCCTCGCCAGAGGATTTTTTTTTTAATTGCTTTTAGAGAGAGAGAAACAGAGAAAGAAACATCAATATGAGAGAAACATCCATTGATTGCCTCCCATACTTGCCCTGACTGGAGATCAAACTTACAACCTAGGTATACGCTCTGACGGGGGTTCAAACCTGCAACCTTTTGGTGTATAGGACGATGCTTCAGCCACCTGAGTCACCTAGCCAGGGAAGCCCTGGGACTGTTGACATATGGAGCTAGATCAGTTTTGTGGCAGGGGCTTTCCTATGCCTTATAGGCTGTTTAGCAGCATCCCTAGTCTCTAACCTCTACTCCCCAGATACCAATAGTGTGTATGTGTGCACACACTTAATGCATGCACACACAACACACACCCCATTTGTGACAACAAAAAATGTCTCCAGACATTGCCAGAGGCCCCCTGGTGCGCAGACCCTTCCTGGTTGAAAACCGCTTTTCTAAGAGTGTCTGTAGACAACCACAGCTAACCAAGTTAATTGCCAGAGTTCATTTAAAGATTGTTAGTTTTCCTTTCCCCCCCTTTTTTGAAGGGGTATGATAAATGTACTTCATACAAATTCAACACTAGAAGTATTTGTTTTTAATATATGCTTTCTTTGCTTTGGTCTGTGTAAAGCTTTAGGCTGGGAAAAGAAAGAGGGCAGTGGAGCAAAGGAGGGGAAAAAAAAAAAGCAGAAATGAGTGTGTGATGCCCCAAAACTGGGGCTGCAGGTAGAGAAGCACTCCAAGGTATGTTCAGTACGTGACAAAAAGAGTGGATTCAGCCCTCAGAATTTGATGTGAGACATCACTAGGAAATGGCTTTAATTACTGGCACTCTCTACCACTGAGTACATTCTCTCTGGGGAAAAGTTTTAAATTGTTTGGTTTGCAGATAGGAGCTGTCATAAAATGTAAGAAAAGTTTGATATGCCTGGTTATGAAAAGAATGATACCAACTTGAGAGCACTTACTTTAATATAAGCAGGATGTATTTAGAACACATTTAATATGTATGTGTTTCTAGTGAAACCTAGCACAGAGTTTATTTCTTCAATAAATACATATTCTGTGCCTGTGGTACATCAACCCTTTTGAGGCACTGGAAATGCAGCAGGGAACTCAACTGTATACCCTCACAGATTTTATATTCCCAAAATTATTTTATCAAAGCTAATTGAGACTGGTTTCTCATCTGCTTTTCCCTTCCTTGTTCCACCTTTGCTATAAAGAAAGTATAGTACAGCAAAAATAAAATCTGTCAGAGGGTAACTATCAAGTAAAGGTTAGTTAATATGAGGGGAGAGGAAAGATGGAGGAGAGACCCATGACACATGGACATCTTACAGGGATGCACTATCACCCTCATGTTTGGCAGTGTGGCAGGGCTTCCCCATGGTACAAGGGCCAGCTTTCCGATTCTTCCATCCAGAAGTTCGCTGCCCCCCAACATCACCATAAAAAAAACCAAAACATTAAAATTACTCTTGACTATAATATTTCTTCCATTTGACTCGAAGATGGGACGTTCAGAGGAAATCTGAAACTTTACTTTTCCCCCCACTCACTAGAATGTGTCAGCAGTGTGTCTGCTTTATTTTTTTATTATTTCTTAAAATACTTTTTTATTTTCAATTACAATAGATGTATAATAGTTTATTAGTTTCAACTGTACACCCTAATAATTAGACATTTATATAACATATGAAGTGATCACCTCAATAAATCTAGCACCCACTTGACAATATACATAGTTATTATAATAATATTGGCTATATTCCCTATGCTGTACTTTACATCCCCATGACTATTCCATAACTACCAGTTTATCTTTCTTAATCTCTTCACCTTTTTCCCCCAAGTCCCCTCCATCTGGCAGTCATCAAAATGTTTTTGGTATCTATGAGTCTGTTTCTGTTCTGCTTTGTTTATTTTGCTTTTTAGATTCCACATATAAATGAAATCATTTGACATTTGTCTTTCTCTGTCTGACTTATTACAGTCAGCACAATACTCTCTATATCCATCCATGTCTTTGCAGATGGCAAGATTTTTTTTTTATGGTTCAGTCATATTCCATTATATATATGCACCACTTCTTTATCCATTCATGGAAACTTAGGGTGTTTCTGTACCTTGGCTGTGGTAAATAATGCTGCAATGAACATATGAGTATGTCTTCTCAATTTAGTGTTTTTGATTTCCTTGAATAAATACTCAGAAGTGGGATCGCAGGGTCCTTCTTTGTCTCTTGTTAAAGCCTTTGTTTTAAACTCTATTTTGTCTGGTATAAGCATTGCTACTCCAGCTTTTTTGTTTGTTTTTTACATTTTCATGAGCTATCTTTTTCCATCTCTTTACTTTTAGTTTATGTGTCTTTCAACCTGAGGCAAGTCTCTTATAAAGGGTCTTGTTTTCATATACATTCAGCCACACTATGTCTTTTGATTCAGGCTTTTAATCCATTAGCATTTAACATAATTATTGATAGATACATATTTATTGTCATGTTATTTATATTTTTTATCTTTTTCTTCTTCAAGAAGTCCCTTTAATATGTTTTGAATACTGGTTTGGTGATAATGAACTCCTTTAGCCTTTTTTATTTTTTATTTTTTTTCAGTCTGGGAAGCTCTTATCTGTTCTCCAATTCTAAATGATAGCTTTGCTGGGTAGAGTAATCTTGATTGTAGGTCCTTAATTATCATCACTTTGAATATTTTGTGCCAGTTCCTTCTGGCCTAAGTATCTGTTGAGAAATCAGCTGACAGTCTTATGGGAATTCCCCTGTAGGTAACTAACTGCTTTTCCCTTGCTGCTTTTAAGATTCCCTCTTTGTCTTTAACCTTTGGCATTTTAATTATGATGTGTCTTGGTGTGGGGCCTCTTTGGATTCCTGTTTGGGATTCTGTGCTTCCTGGACTTTTATGACTGTTTCCTTCAGCAGATTAGGGAAGTTTTCTGTCATTATATTTTTCAAATAGGTTTTCAGTTCCTTGTTCTCTCTCTTCTCCTTCTGGCACCCCCATGATATAAATGGTGGTATGCTTGAAGTTGTCCCAGAGGCTCCTTATACTGTACCCTTTTTTTTGTATTCTTTTTTTCTTTTTGCTGAACTGATGTGTTTTCTGCTTCCTTATCTTCCAAATAGCTGATTTGAACATTTACTTCATCTACTCTGTTGTTGATTCCCTGTAATGAATTCTTCATTTCAATTATTGTGTTCTTCATTTCTGACTGCTTCTTTTTTATGTTTTCTTTCTTCATTTTTAAGTTTCCTGTCTCTCTGTTGAAGTTATTATTAAGTTCATCTACTCTTCTCTTAAGTTCATTGATCTTATAACCAGTGTTTTGAACTCTGCATATGGTAGGTTGCTTGACTCCATTTTGTTTCCTTTTTTTGGAGTTTTGTTCTTTTCTTTCATTTGAAATGTGTTTCTTTGTCTCTTCATTTTAGCTGCCTTCCTGTGTTTGTTTCTATATGTATTAGGTAGAGCTGGTACATCTCCTGGTCTTGGTAAAGTGTCCTTATATAGTAGATGTCCTGTACAGTCCAGTGGTGTAGTCTCCCCAGTCCCCCAAGCTGGGCATTCCAGCTCTGCCTCCTGTGTAGGCTCTGTGCACCTTCCCATTGTAGTTGAGCCTTGATTGCTGTTGGCATGTCAATGGGAAGGATTTACCCCCAGTTCAGTGGGCTTCAAGGACTGGCCAAGACCACAATGGACAATCTGTTGTACAGGAGTCTACCCCAAAAGCAGGACTCACTTCACTAGGTCTCTGGTGTCTGCTGAGTCCACCTCTTGAGTGTATCAGTCATGTAAGTGGTTGGGTTGTAATTTGGCATGGCCTGAAAGCTATCTACTGGGTTTGCTGGTGCCAGAGCCTCCCAGAAGGTTCAAGCCAAGGTCAGCAGTTTCCTGTGCCCTGCCTGGGGTCACAGCATGAGCTACAGAGCCATCTGCAAATGGATGCTACTTGTGCTGGGCTTGGAGGAGCCTGGGAGAGGCCAAGCTGCGAACCAAGGCCAGCTGCTGCTAGTGCCAGGAATGGGACCACTTAGCAAGAAGTACAGGGCAGGCCAAGGCCAAATGCTGCCTGTTTGAGCGATTTTAGGACAGTACGCAGCATGAGCCAGGATAGGTCGTTTGTATAGAAGAGCCACTGGAAACAGCTAGGGTGGGCCCACAAGTTGGGTGGAGTGGGATCTCAGAATCACCAGGGCAGGGAGAACAGTGTTAGCCAATTTGATGGAAACTCATATAGTGCCGACCTGCTGGCTCTATTGTGGAAGAGGTTTCAGCAAAGGAACAATGGCCTCTGCCAGCACTTCTGTCCAGGAGAAAGCTGCCCTTCTAGCCTTCATCCTGATGCCAGACATTCAGTCCCTCCCCAACATGTCTCGAACCTTTTGAGTTGCTACCCCATAGCTGGAGCTCAGAGTAAGTGAGCCTGAGTAAGTCCATGCATGGGCCAATTAAAAGGAATGCCTGGAACTCTAGTAGCCCTTTGTCCAGCTCAACCTCAATCACACTGACTTTCACAGCCAGAAATTATGGGACCTTTCCTTCCCAGCACTGGACCACTGGGGTCAGGGAACTTAGTGTGGAACTAGGACCCTTCACTCCTCAGTGGGGACCTGGGCAGTGGAGATATCCCTCCCAATTTTTAACCACCACACATGGGTGTTTAGATATAAGTAACTAATAAGATTTATGATCTGAAATACAATTTTAACCCGTTAACAAGTCTGTTGTAGTGGGGCTTTGTCTTATTATCTTTTTAATTCAGATCTGACTTGTGTTAACACATTGTGGAATAAAGTATTACAGAGAATCCCTTTTAAATTTTGCCAGTCCTATAGATTCTGACTTGCTCTACCTTCAGATACATTTGACACTAGTTCCTTTCATAAGCCTTTTTCAGCTCTGATAGCCAATGTTGGTGTATTTTTCAGAAATTAATGATTCAGATGAATTCTAAGAGCAAAGCAGAGGAAGTTGAAGATGAAACAGTGGAGCTTGATGTGTCAGATGAAGAAATGGCTAGAAGGTAACCGTTACGTTGAAACAGCTTTGTAATCTGGGCCCAGTGTTCATCGGCTCTCACGTGTACATTCCTCTTACACCATGGTCTGCCCCAACAGGAAGATGACTATTCCTGCTTTCTCTAACATAACTGGGGGTGGATTCAGACCTGTCACAGGCTGGCAGTTAGGGCCCATTTCCAGTGCTGCTTTCAATACATATTTTAAATACACATCTCCTTTTACTTAGAATAATACAAAAACAAAAAATGGGAGAATTTAATCATTCTTAGAGAAGTTCATACGTTTTTAACTCACATGGCTTCTTTTAATCATAGTTTTTATTTGAAATAAACATAGTTCTTATTCTTTGTTGCATTCTTGACAAGACTTGATTCCTATCTTTTTATTTGAAATTAAACTTGTGTTATTTATGTCATCTTAACAGATATGAGACTTTGGTGGGGACAATTGGAAAAAAGTTTGTCAAAAAAAGAGACCGTGCCAATTATGAAGAAGATGAAAATGGAGATATAAAACCAATTAAAGCAAAGAAGATGTTCTTAAAGCCGCAAGATTAAAATGGATGCTTTAAGATATAGCTCAGGAATGCCTTGTGAGACTTTACATATTTTGGAATCATTTCAGTGGTTTCTCTATAGTTAGTAGTATTGTAATGTTTATTTGTAAAGAAATATATAATTTTAGAAACATGCTGTTCTTGAAACAGATGTGTGATGGATGTTATACATCCCTGGCTTAATAGTATTCATCAATAGTGGATTTTTAGCCCTTGATCTTCAAATGTTCAAAGGTTATGGTTGCTTCCTAAAAACTTTTTGACCCCAGATCTTTTTTAATATATCTCTCCAGTCATTGACCTTAAATTGACTCATAAATTGATACCAGTGTTTAAATTGTCCTTATATTTACATTTTGTTTTAAATTACTAATAATGTCAAGCCAGTTCATACATTTTAGAATCAAATGTCATGAGAATATTATATGTAAATTCATCAAGAACAAACATGCTTTTCCGACCTGAAGTATTTGCATGTTACATAGTCATTTCAAATTTGTGGAATTACGAGGTTTTCTGTTGTTGTTAAAGCCTTTAATAAAAAAACAATATTCTGTAATCAACCTCTGTTTTTATATACCTTTTCTGTTCTCTCATATCTTCAAGTAATAGATTTAGTCTAATCCAGTATTGAAACTTTCAAAAACCAGACACTAATTTAGAATACGGTGGGATATTAGATTGAACCATAACAAATTACCTCCTATGGGTCAAAACAGTCATCAGTTTCTTATAGTGTAGCTCATTAGAATTCACCACCAACCAGACCATCTCATAGTCTGTTTATTCTAAATACTGAGTACAGTAGCCCATGGAATTTAGTGTATGTATGTATATGTGTATGTCTCTGTCTGAAGATATCTACCTAGGACTTCATTTCATTTTATTCCTAGCAACCAAATCGGGTATGTGTCTCCTCTCTCTGAATCTCCTTAATTTTTTAAAAATCCTCATCCAAGGATGTGTTATTGATTTTTTTTTTTTTTCCCGAGAGAGAGAGAGGAAGGGAGACAAAGAGAAACATCAATTGGTTGCCTCCCATACAAATTCTGCCTGGGGCCCCAAACAGCGATCAAACCCACAACCTAAGCATGTGTCTCAACTGGGAATCAAACCCCTTTGGTGTATGGGATGATGCCCCAACCAGCGGAGCCACCCAGCCAGGACTCTAAATCTCCTTAAATTTTGATTGCTCTGTGACCTCAGCTTTCAGGTGAATTATGAAAACAGTTGTGAATTTGAAGTTAATCTGTCTCCTTTTCATTGTGAAGGTAAGAGCAACGCACCTTCCAGTTTTCTACATCCTGGGGCAGAAGTCAGAAGTTCTTATCAATGCTCTGCCAGCACCACAATCCATTAATTTAAAGAACATTGTCTTCACACTCATTTTGCACAGCATTACTTTTGATAGACGATCCCATTTCACAGTAAAAGAAGTGTGGCAATGGACTCGTGCCTCTAGAATTCACTGGTCTGAGCCCACAGGCAGGTGCAACAGGTATAATAGAATGGTGAATGGTCCACTTAAGACTCAGTTGTGGCCCTAGGTGGGATACAAAACTCCATCTTACAAAATGTAATTTATGCTTGAATCAGTGACCATTTAACGGGGCTGTTGATCTCCTTTTAGTCAGAATACGAGGTCTGTCCGGAAAAAGTCCAACCATTATTAGTATAACGAGAATGGTTTGTGCAACATTGATGTAATCTGGCAGCTAAGGAGAGTGGACTGGAATGTACTTAGTGAACAATTGAAAACTTCATTGTACTAGTCACTGGGGATCAGTCGAAGCCATTGAGTGAGCATGTGTACTGTGTGCCCATCACATTCAAAATGAGCTAGTAGAGCAATAAATCTGCGTCAAATTTTGCATTAAGCTTGAACATTCCTTCTTGGAAAGTGATTGGATGAATCAGAAGTCCGCAGCTATGGGCAACTGGTGACAGGCAGCTTCATAATGACAATGTGCCCACTCACACATCACATCTCATGCAGTTTTCTGGCAAAACATTAAATCACCCATGTGACTTAGTCCCCCTACAGCCCAGATTTGGTGCCCTGTGACTTCTGGCTTTTCCCAAAACTAAAATCACTTGTGAAAGGGAAGAGATTACGACGGGCCAGCGGATGGCAATTGGGGAACTGTGTGAGGTCCCAAGGTGCCTACTTTGAAGGGAACTGAGATGTCATTGTCCAATGTACAATATTTCTTGTATCTTCAATAAATGTCTCTCTTTCATATTACACAGCTGGATACCTTCTGGAGAGACCTTGTATATGGCCTGGAATCAAGCAGAGGCGGAGAAAGTGGCTCCTCTCAATGTTATTTTAATACACTCAAAAATGTGTTGCTTCCTCTCCCTTAATTTTGAGCTGTTTGGAGGTCTAAGTTCCCAAGGGAGAAGCGCTCCCACCAGACATCACAACAGTGTTAGGAGAGGAATTCAAACAATTTGGACATTTTGCCACTAAACCAGTAGGCAAAGGAGTTTACTCTCCACACTGATACAGGAGAACAAAGGGTTATTTGTGCTGTTCCTACACAGTAGATAATGGAGGATGATAAGTGGAACCCAGGGTCATCTTAGCACTTCCATGCCCAGTCCCCTTTTTCAATATCCTTACCTGAGGACATGAGAGAGGAGAAGGAAGGGAGAGGGAAACATTGATGCGAGAGAGAAATACCAATCAATTGCCCTATATGCACCCTGACCAGTGATAGAACCCACAGCCTAGGCATGGGCCCTGACCAGGAATCAAACCTACAACCTTTGAGTTTACAGGACAATGCCCAACCCCCTGAGCCACACTGACTGGCAAGGGCTGATTTAGGTTCTTTAGGCAATGAAGTTTTGGGTCACCTTACAAGGTACAAACCACGAGTATCAGAGATCCTGGCTGAGGGAAGAGGAAACATGGAATATGAAGAGAAAGAATGAAGCTTATTAATTGCAGCCTTGTGAGCAGTTACAAGTTACTGAAGAGTTATGCACATTTTCTTCCTTGGTGTGTGTATTAATTTCTCATTTATCTTACTGTATATGGGATTTAGAGCGTTGCTTTGCTAGTTAGTGTTGAGATAACAATGTTCAGATGGACCTGTGGCTGAATTCTATCTGTGCAGGGTAAGTTACATGGTCAGGAGATGGGATGAATAATGTGACTGTCTCCCAGAAGCTGACATGATATCTTCTGGGACTTTGTCTCCTCATTTTGGAGGAAGGATGAGAACATCTTTTATACAAAGGATGATTGCAACTTGTTAAGTAAAAATAAAGAGTTGTTTTTCTTGTGGGAAGTTTAATTGTGTTTAGAAGTGCATGCATGTGGATGCTAAATGGCCCAAGGAGACACACCGCAGCAGATAATTAACTTGTTTCTCAGACTGACTCAAACTCACCTTTCTACTCAGCTTTTGGTGCTGGCCTGGGGCTCAGCAAACTCTGTTTCTCCTTTGCCAGCTGACTCCTTATTGGGATCAGCCAGTGGGGCCCAGATGGAGATGGCAAGGCCAGGGGAGGAAGGAGGAGCTTGGCCCTTTCTGTGTGCTTCTTCCTCTTTGCTTCCTGTTCCTTTGTCACCCCAAAACACCTCTTCTACCCAGCAGAGGCTGATGTTTCAGTAACAGTCATTGATACCAACTGCTTAGTCCTCCTTCCTCAAGTGTCTGCCCAGTACCCTGGCACATAGGACTACCCCTCCACACAAACCCCCCTTTTCATCTCAGACACTGAAATTAACCTTACCAGAGATCTTGGGTTTCAGCTCTCTGGGGTCTCCCCAGTCTCCTAAAATTAAACAATTAAAATTTTTTTTCCCTATGAGTGACAGCTTCCTGCATGATACCTTAAATGTTCTCTTTTTGTTTTTTTAGTTCTTTAATACCGAATTAACAATCCTTTATATTGAATTTCCTCTGTTGAAATAAGGGAGGCTTTTATCTCCTGATTAGGTTTTGACTGACAGATTTATCCCAGAGCATCTATGAACTCATGGGTTTGGTGGGCTTCTTTTTCTAATCTATGTTCAAGTTTACAGCTATTAAATTAAAAATGCTCAACCATTTACAGCTCTTGGAAGTTATGTACCCAACCAGTAGTTAGTATACCACATTTTGGAAACCACTGCCCCAGCACAGTGACACCTATTGACTCAGTTACGGCATCATTCACATTCATCTCCATAGCTGTAAAGCTACTGTCCTCTGAGGTAGGGACTATACCTTTTTTTCATTTGCCCCTGTGCCTAGGAAAGAACATGACCCATATTAAAGCTTTCAGTAAATATTTCTCCAGTGAGTGAATAAATGAATGAATGATAGTTAAATGATTTGGAAACCAAATGCCCTACAAAGAAGCCTACTTAAACCACAGTGCTGCCCTGGCTGGTGTGGCTCAGTGGACCGAGTGCCAGCCCATGAAATGAAAGTTTGTCAGTTCGATTCCCAGTCATCACATGCCTGGGTAGTGGGCCAGGTCCCCAGTTGGGGGTGTAGAAGAGTCGATGTATCTCTTGCTCACACATCAGTGTTTCCCTCTCTCCCTCCCTTCCCCTATCTCTATAAGTAAGGTCTTTAAAAAAAATTTTTTTTAACCACAGTGCTGTGGAAATAAAGACCAAACAAATGGGAAAAAGACTATTTAGTACAGCCCATATAACAGGGGAGTCAGCCACCATCTGTGTTTTGGCAGAATCAAGGGCAGAGGAATGGGAAAGCCTATTGTGGAAAAAAAAGAGAAAGTTTCAGATATGCCTTGATTGAAGGCTGTCGGCATGGTGGAACTGTCGGTGACCAACAAGAAGCAGGGTACACTGTGTGATTGGTTAGACGTGCATATTTGGCCTTCTCTGGTTGGTTGTAAGATGGAAGTGGGAACAAAAATTAGAGAAGGTGTCAGTTATTGATAAATCCTTACCATTTGGGGCCTATTGCTGTAGAAATCATTGTTTAGCTTCCTAGATTGTCAACAGAGATACAAGGCTGACTTCTGAGTTCAGTGGAGATAAGGGGTTGGTTTCTTGGGCAGGTCGCTGCACGTTATGGATCAAAGTCCTAATTTTATAGAGTGTCTGGCATTGTTTGTACATTCAGTCTCTCAGTAATTAAGTTTGTTTCTAGTCATACTGTAAAACACAACTGTTTGATCATGATTCTGTGGAAATACTCAATTTCAGAAGATGCCACCAATTGAATTAGGGGTATTTGTGGCTCCACCCATTAGTGGAGCTGCCTGTGCTGGAGGCAGACACTTCAGGAGTTAGTGTCACAGAGACAAGGCCACCAAAGCAAGTAACTGAAAAACTTCTGCTATTCCAGATCTTGGGGAGAAAAACTAAATATCATTGGCTAAAGAATAAAGAATTCAATATAACAGATAATCATCATTTCACTCATTGATTCACTGACATTTATGTTGGTGGTGAACTTCTTCAAAGTGGGCTATTTGGGGAGCGAGAGAAGATGTAGCAATAATAGTAGTTTCAAAAAAATCCCTAGAGCCCTGACTGGCATGACTCAGTTGGTTGAGTGTTGTCCCACAAAGCA